GACCTCCTCTAAAAAGTGAACGTAAAGTGCTTTTTTGTGGTATTTTAATGACGAATGTCTGTGTACTTCCTATTTTGCAAATGTTGTCATTGAAAAAACTGGACATTAGGAGCATTTTTCAACTTACCTGTAAATTTCTTTTCCGCAGACGAAAAGGCTCACGATACTTTTCAAATTGGACCAATTTTGGCCTACCCTTGCTTATTTTAGGTTACATACTACGCTTAAAAATGCACAACGCTCATATATATTAGAATATTTTGTTCACTGTTAACTTTCTGTAATTTATTCTTCTTAAATACGTACAAATGGAAGCTAGACAGTACAAATGCTCAATGGTTAAAATCGTCATATTATTATGGGCCTTTTCATGATTGCTTATAGTACTTTCACAAAGCGCAAGAAATATGGGTGTATTTACATAAATGAGGCGGTGCACTCAAACGAGGCATGTATTTACAGATATATCGATTTAGTTGTTAATTACAAATCTCCCAAGATCAGATTAAAGCAAAAATAGCCACAACCCGCCACATGATTAGATGGGGTTGATGACTGTTCCCCCACTGACTTCATAATTACATACGGGTGATGATTATCTACTTACATTCTGACCCAACATAGAAGCGTGTTTTAGTCCTCGTTTTGAGTTAATTGTTTTGACAACGACCTGGGGACCAGACTCGAAAACTGATGCAATGGACTTTTTCCCAAAGGACTTTACTGCTAATAAGTCAGAAATTATTGTACGTAGGCGTTTGTACTACGTTAAATGGCACGAAATGGCACCGATTTACAAGTCTGCATTTTTAAGGTCTCAGAACGTCTGGCTTTCGAAATGTAACGAGTTTGTTTTCAACTTGTCATGCCTTATTTACGCGGTATAAACTGCCAATTTTACAGTATGGCAAGTTTTACCTGGTTGCACCTGTCAGTTAGGGTTATTCTTCTCGTAAAAAAACGCCTGCGGATGCTCAATCTTGGTCTAGGATATATATTAACATGGAAAATGTTATTTTTCGTTCAAAACTGTCAATATGTTGACTGACAAAATCATCTAGAAACACATCCTGCATGACATTAGGGCATTTGTCTGAGCGGCCTAGTTGAATATGTTAAATTCACAGCGTTTCTGGTATCCCAAACTGAGTACCTCATGTTCCCAAATGAGGTTTCATGAGTTTTACCACATTGTTTCATGCTGCATTCAACCGAAGAAATCTCTAAAACGGGATTTTTACATTATCACACTTCCAACCCAATTAGTGGCCGGCGATTCGTTTATAAAATATAGTAGCTTTTTTCCATTACTTTACACACCAGCCAGTGTTCATTATATTTTCCTGCAGAACCCTTGTAAATACAGTATGTGATCTAAAAGAAGAAAATTTCCGCACCGAACACCTTGTACTGCATATACTACCCATCTCGCATCAAAGGACGTTACACTGTGATAAGGAGACGGCCGTGCTTCACGCCGAGAAATATGCCAATAAAAACATAAAGTCGAAAAAAACACATGTTTCGGAGTTCAAGGAGTTAAAGTCAAATATGGTCGACATCAGGGAAGGATAGCTGAGGAAATAGTGACAAAATCTGATTTTTCCTACCTTCCTTTACCTCATTTTCCTTGACGTACCATCAGATATTCCTGTTCCAGAAGGGATTTATTTCTTATTATTCATGTATTTTTACATTATCACACGCAAAAGGAAGATTTGGTAAAAGTTCCTGTAAGCAATACCCTAGTTCACTATAACATAACTACCTACTTATTTCTTTGCAGTTTATTTTTTAGTTTCGGATAATTATTAGCTTATTTGTTTATGATTTAGTTTTATTAGTTTAGTCAGTTTAACGTAGTTAAGTTTTTAATTTATTATCTAGCTTTATTAGTTTCTTTAATCACGTTATAGTAGACTACAGCGTTGCTTACAAGGAACCCATACCGAAGGTTTTAATTTGGGTTACTGCATAGCGTAGGCGAATACTTGGATATCCGCAAACGTCCAAATTCATCTAAAGTTGCACTGCTTTCCTTTAATAAATCAGGACTTAAATGTTTACTTCTTTATGTTTACTTCTTTACTTCTTCCTGGGTCTCAAGTCAGATCATAAAAAAAAATAACAGCACACAAAATGAGTGCCAAACTATCCATTAATTTTTAAATCACAACATTTCGTGAATTTGATCATATAATGAATGCGCCAATTTCGTGGGATGTTCCTCTAGGTTCTTTTAAACAGTGTGTACGTACCTACTGAAATTTGGCGGCGATCACATCATGGTATACAAAATTCGTGAAATTGTTTAGCCCAGACTTATGGCCGTTACAATCCCATTTACTAAGCACACTTGTTCACTCGAATACGTACTACGTGATACTTCGAGATTTGAGCCATTTTCGATGGATGAAGTGCTGTAGAGAGATCGAGTCCATTAGAAGAGAATTAGAGTGGCCGGTACCGTATACATTACTAAACACTCAAGTGTTTTTGGAATTCTTGAAAATGCAACGGCAAATGGAAAAGGATAAAATTGGGTGGAGCATTGGTGAACGCTACATTTTTAGGGACGTTAAACGAAATGCTACAGTAAAATAAGGACAGCGTTACGTATGCTAATTAAACGGGATAGACCTTGTGAGAAGGTTAATTGCTATGCAAAAAAACATTTTGAACACATCTGTGAAAGGTCATCTAATCGGGTAACTATCAAGCTTTTCGAAACTCATTTTCATAACTGCGAACGTCGTGTGTTCTTGATGTTTCGGCGTCATTGTCCGCCATAGTGTAAACTGCATGTGAAAATTCGCCAGGGGCTACCAGGTAGTCGCAGAGTGACTTAGTATTTTTTGTAGAATTAGAATGTCGACACGGAAAGGGATGTTGGAATGGCCATTTCTGAATTGACGGCCATCATCAGATAGTCGTATCCAATTCCAGGTTTTGCGTACTTACTGCACTCTGCTGGCGGCCTCGGGAACCTGTGTTGAACATTTAATAATAAAATTTGTTTCCATCCCTTCATCACCAACAAATGCTTACGAACCGAGACAGATTTCCCAGTTTGGTCATAATAGACGGCATCACAGGTAGTGCAAGGGAAGGGATGAAATCATCTCTCGCCGGTGCCCACATACGCTGGACACACGGAACATATTTGCGTGGGAGAACAGTCGGATTGTTTGCGCCTGTCCAATAAGAAATAACCGGAGATTCCTGGGAAAAATACACTCAAATGAGGCACGCATAATTCGGCATCTTGATTTAGCCGCTACGTACAAAATCCTCTAATGCAAATTCAAACGAGCATAGTTAATTCCAAGATGCTATCAATGCGTATTAGCGCCGATATCGGCCAAACATATTATTAATCAGCGGACACGGTTAATTACTGGATTATTTTTTACAGTACTCGTAGTCTGACGACGAGCTTAGGCACCAGCCTCTAAAATTAACACTGTTGAGATTATATTTTCCTAAAGCATCTTTTACTAAATGTTCACATATGTACATTTATATACACATATGTGTAGGAGAGGATAAAGCGTTTTCTGGGAGCAGATGTTTATTTGCCCGACGTTTCAAACTCTCACGCGAGCCCATTGTCAACGAATGAAAAAAATTACTGCTCACTGCGTATTTGGCTCAGCTCTGCCTGGGATGGCCTTCAGCGCTGTCATTGTTCACGCAACGCGAGATGGGCATCCGGGAAATCGATTTTTCTATTAATAGAATCTGCATGTGAGTACCACGCTTCATGTAGCAGGCGTGAAGTTCGGTCGTCCGACTGGCCTAGTATTCTCACGCGTTTAAAGTCGAAGCCATGCCCTGCCGAGGATGCGTGGGCGGCTACCAAGGATAGCTTGTTCTTTCTTCGTACGGCGAGTTCATACTCATGCAGTCTCGTAGCAACCCGTTTGCCATTTTCACAAAAATAAGTTGCTTGACCGCAAAGACAGTTGATTCGGTAAATGACACCGGATTTCTGAGTGACGGATATTAGATCTTTAGGCTATATGAGGTGCCTGCGGATTGTGGCTTCCGGTCGGTGAAAGACGCCAATCCCGAATTCGCTGACTAGTCGAGGGAATTTTTCGGATACACTAGCAATACAAGGTATTATTCGCCAGCATGTTGGTTCTGGCTGCGCCGTTGGTTTTCTTCTTTTTGCTCCTCGCCTGCATTTTTCTACGAAGCTGGCAGGATATCGATTCGTCGTGAAGAATTTACGTATAAACTGAACTTCGGCTTTTTTTGTTGGCTGGTTAGCTGCACTGGGTTTCTACTCGGCCGTATAGCGTTTGCACGCAGCTGCGTTCGTACAGGACGGGGTGGTTGCTGAGGTAACTCGGAATTCGGGAAGTATTTTTGCTTTCCTGTTAACCGTGGTCTTGAGTTCCCCATCGTCTTTTCTGTGCACCAGCGCAGCGAGGAACGACAATGGGCAGTATTTTTCTTCCTCCATCGTGAACTGGATGTGTGTATGTGTATGTGGCATAAGTATAATGTGGTATTCCCGAATAAGTACTAGGTAAAAGGTTTTGGAAATATTTCTGCTGCTGTA